TCATAGTAAAAGTACATAAATACTGTCACTATCATTATAATACCTTATTATTAACCGTTAACAATTAATCGTTAATGACACTTGCTGACTGTAACGTCTGAAAAACGAAACGAAAGAGATCAGCCTACCACTTGATTAGCAAATGCAGTCCCATCACAGAAAAAGAAACACGCAGAAACACGGTGATCTTTGACAGATTCAATAAGGCTCCACTGGCTTCCTCCCTGACATGTTCCACTTCCGAGCTATTATTATAGTGCAGCAGCAGATAGACTTGCAGCTCATGGTAAGGTAGGCTGTGGTGGTTGGTTAATTATCTCGGGGGGTGTGCCAGGGGCAAAATCTAGTTTTTAAATCTCAGGCTCAGGAGGTTTGCTCAATTAGAAGCAAAAACACAACATCGTTTAATTAACAGACCGTGCAGCTTACACGAAATAGATTTCACACATAATTCAGTATGCACGAGTGCACGATTTCAAAGCACTTTTTAGTCAGCGATAACCTTTACAGATGGAAATCGCTTGTATCCTTTTAGCCCTCGTTAAATATATAAAAAAAATCAAGTCATGAAATGGCCTCTCTTGCAAAGCCTCCTGCCCCTCCACTGAAAAAGGCTCTGTTTATGGTTCAAACCATGTTGTGGCGAGATAGATTGTTGAAGATAAAACTGGACAAACAGAGATAAATCATGCCGCAGACTGCCTGTCACAGTCAATGGCGTTGTCCCACCCTTTCATTTGCTCCGAGACTGAACGTGCAAATCATCGACAAAATCATCAATAAATCTCCCATTAAGCTCGAGGACGTCCTCCATCAAGGTACCGGAGCCGATTTATAAAAACAAATCTTCCACGGAAATGTCTCACACTCATTGTCTTTTGTTTGTCAGATTCAAGGTCCAGACGCAGGAATCTCTAAATCAAATTAGTGTCCGATGTGATCTATTTACAGCCCGTGCGCTGTGATCAGGGCTGCTCCAGTCCTCGGAACCGCTCCTGTAAATGATCATAAAGCAGTGAAATCGGGATCAGGAGACGCTTGGCTTTTTGACTTGAGCGCGTTAGGCTATCTGATTTATGATAATCCAGCTAGTTTGGGATGTTTGAAGTTAAAGGGCAAGCCGAGCAGGTGAGAGAGTGAGGAGCTATTTTGTGCAAATGCGTCCGCATTGGTATCCAACAAAAAGGCAAACACGAAAATTGCACGTTAATGCATAACATTTTTTTTTTGTTGGATTGGGTTTCAAAGCGTGCCATCACCGGCATTGTGCTTTTAATCTAGTGGATCGATCCCAACATACCAGAGCAAAGTCACTGACACTGGAGGTGACTATACATTTACATTTTTACCTGTAGAATAGACCTTTACAATCAAATGTATGTGCAATAAGTGTGTTTAATTCACCTCTAACATTTATTAAAAGTTAATTCTGACAATATATCCAAACACCTGGAATTAAAATGCATTTAAATTATAGATTAAATTTCTCCTACATTTTGCACGGACACTTCAGCAACACTGATAGTTTTTTTTCCTAAGCCTGTATTTTTTTTTGTTCCAACTTACCTCGGCTCGAGCTCTTCGCAGGGGATGGGAGGAGAAAAAAAAACGCTCTTTACTTTCAGACCATCTTCAGGGACCGCACGAGCGAGTGAACCACCGCTCTCTATCAGAGTATAGGTGCAGGAAGCGCGCGTCTTTCTTCACTGGTGCTGACGTTAAGCGGTGCCGCTCTCCCAGCACGCGCGCCCGAATAAGTGGAGCTTGTGAACGAACGTGCGTCTTGGCTGTGTCTTTGTGTATACGTGTGAGTGACTGAGTGAGTAAGTGAGCATGTATGCATGTGTGTGTATGTGTGTGTGTGTGCGTGTGGCAACCGTGAGCTACCGGGGACGGGGTTACATACCAGCTATGGCTGTGATGCCAGCGCCCATATGGCTGGCACGTCACCGGCAAGAGCCATCACATGAGAGCCCGGTGATTGACATGCGCCCGCATTCGGAGAGATTTGCCCTCCCGGGGGAAAGAGAGACACACAGAGAGAAAGAGAGAAAGAGAGAGAGAGAAGCAGGAGGAGGTAGATGTGGTGGTGGTGGAGGAGGAGGAGGAGGGCTTCGCCATCTGTCACCGCGCTAGCGCTCACACAGCCAGAAAAAAGGAGGAAAAACAGAAGAGAGAGGGAGAAAATAAAATGGTGGAACAACAAAACTCATCATTGTTGACCTGTGCTGCTGTTTCAAGACATGTAAGCTACTTTTTTTTAAATCAAACCTGTGAAATTTGGTAATCCCCTGCCAAACTCACGACTCGGCGTTTTAATACAATATAACAGAGAGCTGCACAAATATCCCCGCACTTACGTACCACGAAAAAGGTGATATTAAAAGGGCTAAAGACAATTAAGTATGTGAAGTCATATCAGAAAACCCACTGATGCTAATTCCATATATTATGGTAGTCATCACACTCCAGCATCACCCATGAAGGATATACTCTTATAAAAACGTGGAATAAGTGGCAATACAGTGGGTAAACTAACCAGCAGTCAAACAAGAGCTACTTAAAAATATCTGAGCAAGCAATTAATCAATTATCCTCTCTCAAAGTCTATCCTCAAAGCCTATTATAAAATGATATCAATTAACTCTCATCAAATGAAAGGTGGGCAAACCGTGTTTATTTGTGGGGTTTACCCTCCACCACAGCTCCGGTTCAAAAGCTGAGTGGGGGAGGGAGATGGGGATGCATTATAAGTGCATTAAGACCGTGGAACAGACGGCATATTGTTTATTTATTTACCTAATTGGATCAAATTATGCTTCAATGTATTCAGAGGAACGACAACCAAAACCAACTGTGATTTGTTCTGACTCTTCTGGGCCCAACACTGGCTGCAGATGACCCACTTGCCGGAGCTTCAAATGAATTAGATTAAAACATATACCATTACATAGGCTTCAGCTGCATGCATGGCGTGCGTGTGTGAAGATCAAATGTTTACTGGTAACTGTGTCTGAATGTGTGAGGTTTGCCAGAGCTGCTGGTCATGTTTTCAGCATGCAATGCTAAGCATGGAGGGCGGGTGGGTGGGGATGTCCACAGGGGCAAGTGTCACAGAGAGAGGGAAAGAGATACAGAGACACAGTGAGAGGATGGGTGAAAGAGAGTCTGAGACCCAGGTGTGCAGACCCACTAGGGATGTTTGAAAAATGAGGAGGAAGGGGGGTGTAGCAGTAGATGACATGCTGGTTGAATCTGGCAGAGATCCTCAAGATTTAGGAGGCATGTTGGCACATCAGTGGCAGAGATGCAAGAATTCCTTGCCACCAGCGCCCCGGTCCCTCCAATATGTCTGATTTGCTGCATTGTGTCCACCCCAGCTCAGAGATCTCTCTATTTAGGAGGCATTAGTGGAGTTAATGTGGGAGAAATGAGCCTGATGACCACCAAGTCCAACTTGGCACAAAGACACCCATCGGGCTGAGGGAACAGGGACCTGGAGGCTGAGAAATAGCTGATAGAAGCTGATCATGTCCTTGGGTCTGGATCACCCCTACATTGCCTGCAAAGCCACAACTATGGCAGTGTTTGGGAGGTTGCGGGGTCATCCCTGGGGTTAACGCTAGTGTAGCAGCTGTGGTTAGGGAGCCGTGATGTTGCACATTCATTAATGTGTCTCTTATCCCTTATGGGAAAGAGGGAATGATAAACTGGCAGTACCTTGAACCACGGTGGTGTGATTGTGTCAGCATGTGTATTTGTGTTGAGGGACACTGAGCTTCACTGCTAGCCAAATTGGTGCCCTATTCTACCTCAGCTGGACGGTGGAGGGAGGGAGAGATGCGAGCGCTGTGGCGATGGGAGCCTGGTGCATCCCAACAAGTCCAAAACAACCTTCAGGTCACCTTGCCAAAATAAATGCTAAATGTCAACGGCGTGGCTTTAGCCAGCACTGGGCTCAAGGCGGCTCCAATCAAGGAGAGTTTGATCTGAAATTGAAATGCCAGAGAAGAGCTTGTTTGGAATTATGATGTTTTAGAATGACTTTGCATCCGGTTTGTATGTGGATTAGCATTAAGTAAGGACCACCTGCTGTGCTTTTACAGGCTAAACGCATGCAGTCAGATTCTAAATTAAAGCCCTCTCCCTTTAAGATCTCAAATTCTCCATCACTCGTTTCCTCCATGTTCAAATGACACATAAGAGCCTTTCAAAGTCATCAAGCCACACCTCCCTATACCGTTGTCATTCCCTCACCCCTTCCTTCTTCCCTTTTTTTACTGTCAGACGTGTGAGGTGATGACCTGCACTTCACTTGTCTTTCTGGAAGAAGTGCAAACTTCTGCTGGCACAAATATGAAATACAGCTCACATGCACACACACACATATACGCACATATACACACGGACCCTCCCACCCCCATCAGACTCCCGGACCCCATCTGCACTCTCCTCTCTCCAGTCCCCTAATTGCATATGCACAAATGCAAATGCCTATTAATTAATTACTTGACTAATTAGTGCAGTGGTATTTTAGGGCGATAAATCAAGTAGAGATGGGGCCGAGGACGGCGGGGCAGGAGGAGGGCTGCACGGAGCATCGACAATGAACCCACACCAGAGGGAGTAATCCTAATGTACAAGGCTTGTGCGCGCGTGTGTGCTGTGAAGAGAATGTGCACAGCAGAGATCCTGAAGTAAAGCACCGTTTAAAGATGCTGAAGAGACCAAAGAGGTGACTGAGGGAGGTGAGTACTTTCAGTCTGGAAGAGGAGGTGAGAAAGGTAGCCAGAGAGAGGGGAGGCGGGGGGAGAGAAGAAATTGAGGTAGGTTGAGAGATGACCTCTGCTCTGCCAACTGTGCTGTTTCCTGGCACGCGGCCAAGCTCGGATGCTCGTTGCACCTATTTTCATAAAGGAGAAGGGCTCAGCTACATACTAGGACTGCTACTGATCCATATTTATGCTCACATTGTAAACCTTGTACAATAGTTCAATGAGCATAACAGTTGGCATCATTTACGCAGCGATACTGATGTGATAATTGTGGCATCTGTGATTGGGAGGTGAATAATTCTGGCAGCCATGATAAGCTGTGTATCCGTCTATGTATGTGTGTGTGTGTGTGTGTGTGTGCCTGTAGGTGTGCCAGGCCCCCACCATAGGTACCCATGGAGATCTCCGGACTGAAATATTCATTCTTGTTTGCTCGCCCAGACAGTGTGGTCCTAATTGCAGCATCAGAAAGCTCCACCTCTTCCTCTCGTCTGGCTTGGCTGCAGCAGAGATAAACCTCATCTGGGAGCAGGATGTCTCTGTAAGTACGTGTGTGTGTGTGTGTGTGTATGTGTGTGTATTTGTACACCCGTCCTCTTTTCTGGGGTTTTTAGGTGGGTGCTTGGCTTGCTCTTCCTTCGCTTACTCGCTCATTTACAAATGTTGCACACAAAGCCCCCTTTTCGAGGAGCGCTTCTCATCACAAGTCTGTCAAATTCATTCATTTGATTTGCTGCATGTCACATTTTCCCCTTGCATTTCAGCTTGTCTTCATGCCTCATTCCTTCTGCCTGTGATGGAGTTGGGTCGACTATTGATCTTTCTGTCAACATGTCTGTCTGTCGATCTGTCTGTCCACAGGGCGAATATGAGGCTCTGGAGTTTTTCATCAGTTCCCGTGCCAACCCTACCCATGCCTGGCCAAGCTGAACCATCTTGTGGGATTTTTGGCTTTTAATTATAGTAAGAGAGGATTAATTATGGCAGTGGAAACAAGGGGCCATGCATTATTGATGCTATGAGTGAAGGGCTGGAGGGGGTAGAGGGTGCTAATTAAATCACTGCCCTACTGCCATGTCCTCCTCTGTCTCTGCCTTCACCATGTCTTCCACCTGCTACATCTACAGCACCCCACCCTACTTTGCTCCTGACATCCAGGCACACGTGTATCGTTGCTCTCACGTATCTATCAGTCACATCACCCTCTATTATCCTTGAGGAAACCAAGTCAAAGTTTAAACACTGAGTTTCTCTCATTGTTGCCTCATGTCCGTTCAGCTTGTCCTTCACCCTCATAGTCCTGTCTTAGAATTTTTTCCTCTCTGTTTTCACTGTATCTTGATTAGACTGCCGCATCCTATTAAGAGTGATTTATTCAACTGTTTAATACCCCTCAGTGGCAACACGTTTTTAAATTTGCTTTCATCCTAAACGATCACCTCAGTTTCAGTTTCAACCCCCACTAGGAAAGTTATTTCTAGTCAACAAGAGATGAGCCTGCTTAAGAGCCAAATGTAGCAAAAGGCTGCCATCTACTGGAATTTGTTTAAAATTGCATCCTTTATTATTTAATGGTGCTGAGTTGAGCTTTGAGTACAATCTGTATTTACCCATCACTTATCACAAATTGAAGTGGAATTTGCAATAAGTGAAGTGTAAATACTGTCAGGCTTTTTTCTTTGGAATTTCTTTTAGTGCTTATTTCATACTAGAGATTATGAGTTTAATATATTAAAAATATAACACTGTAATATAATTTGTTGATATAAAAAGCAACCTAATTTCTGGCAGGTGTGCTTTCCACAAGTGAAAGTGATATGCAGGGTGTTGCACAAATTAATCTACAAAATTACTTTATGTGAAAGTCCACCAAAAAAACTACAGGACATATATGTATGTCCTGTAGTGTGATGCAAAATATATACATATATATGTATATATTTTGCATCTATACTATCTAGATTTTATTGTCTAGATTTCCTGAGAATGTATAGTTGAAAGTATGAAACTCTACTGTCCTTCTGTTTGTGAACTGTGACCTCAGTGGTGTTCTAGCATGGTCTGTTGCTGGTCTTTACACACTAGTCTGGGAACCATATTTTACTTTTCAAGCAGCCTATCACACTGAAGTTAAATTTTAAGAACAATTTGCATTGACTTCTTTATTGTTTCAGACGGTTTTGTGTCCCCTGATGTGTTGTTGTATATTGTTTTGTTCCTGAATTAATGTTTTTTTTCTTTGCATCCTGTGTCCTTCACTGATTCTCTTGCAGGTTTATTTGTGCGATCTTGTCCTAACAAACTCCAGGGGGGTAATTCCTTTTATGCCTGTCTGATTTCTGCCATATTTCCATGCACAGCACTCAGTGTACCACTTCAGATGATGGCTTCCACAGATGGCACCCAGTGGTTGAAGGAACCTGATTCAATCAGACAACCTGGTTTGGCGTCAAACATCCACCCTGCTGAAATGGTGAGAAAAATCTGAAAACAATCCAAGTTCTGCACAAAAATAACCCATAACCCCCCCCTTCCACTAGCGCTAATATCTAATCAGCCAATGAGATCGCAGCAATTCAGTGCTTTAGACATGGTCAGGATGAAGTGCTTAAGTTCACACCAAATATCAGAATGTGGGCAAAAACTAATTTAAGTGACTTTGAGTGTTTTTTTGGGTCAAAGTATTTTGGAAACTGCTAATCTCCTGGGATTGTCCTGCACAACCATCTCTAGGCTTTACAGTCAAGAAAAAAGATAATATCCAGTAGCTGGCAGTTCTTTGGTGAAAATGCCTTTGATGTCTGAGGACAGATGAGAATGACCAGACTTAATCAAGCTGATGGTAAAGCATCGATCAGAGAGCATCCCTGAATGCACCACACATCAAACCTAGAAGTAGACGCCCACACCAGATACCACTTCTGTCAGCTAAGAACACAAAAACTGAGGGTCCAATTCATATAGGTTCACCAAAATTGGACAATAGAAGACTTGAAAAATATTGCCTTCATTTCTGCTGTGACATTTGAGTGGTCGGGTCAGAATTTTTGTCAGAATCATGTAAACATGAGGCAAAATCTATGAGCAATGTTTTCAAAGAATTAAGGTAATTCTGAAGGCACAAGGGGATAGAGCCAAGTACCAGAAAGGTGTACCTAATAAAGTGACCAAGGAGTGTATGCATATATACATTAAAACAAATGAAAAGAAGTAAAGCCTTCAAGACAAAAGTCGTTTAAGAACTTGTAATTACACTAGTAGAACAGTAGATGGTACACAAGCATCTTTAGTCAACACAATGCAACATAATGTCACCACAGTTGGTGCTGATACTGCTGGGAAGGGCAGCTTTCCCAGGTGTATCTGACTGTGTTTTTTTATATGAACAGAGCGTGTTTATTGTGCGATGGTATGTTATATAACTGGATGAGTGAGGAGTCAAGTGAGGTGCTGACTGATACACAGTATCTCTCTGTGCCCCTCAACTGAGATGCCACCTGCTATTATGTTATAAAGCCTCTCTGTCATCCAGACTAATGGAATACTTCACCTTTCACAGTGATTTTTCTCCCTGAAATCCCCTGTGAATGTGCGGGTTTATTACTACTACAGGACCCGGCAGGTAGAGAGAATTATGCTAGCCTCAAAGAGACGGGTTAATCTGTTATATTGTTGCTTTTTTTTTTACCAACAGTTACACAGTTCCTTGTTCCCTTTTGTTTTTGACACGACTTTATTGAGATAACCAGAATGCATTTTGTGCTTTGGGGGTTGGGGTATCTTCTGCAGGGGGTCTAATGCACCTGTGAATTAGTTTCATAACAGGAAGGCTTTTGTCAGATGGCACAAGATGCTCTGTTTAGGAGCAGATAGAATTGCAGACCTTTTATCTGGCTTGGAGTGTCTCCACTCTGAGTGCTTGTGTGCGTGAGTTTACAGTACACATGCCACACATTTTGTACAGGTTGTCCCTGCTGGCTGCTGGAGTTATTATAAAGCTCGCTGTTCTAAAGCAGCTAGTAAGATCTATCTTCAGAAGGTTTTTCCTGTGGTTTTGCCAAAACAGTGATTTAATGACAAGGCGGAAGCTAAACGAATAAACACTGTGAAGTGCAATAAAAATAGAGCTAGAGACATGCGAGTCTGCATATCGATGAGTTTAGACAGTGTCTGTAAATACACGCGGCAGCATCACGAGTAGAGCAAGTGACATATCTGATTTAATTAGAGCTACAAATAAATACTGACTTCCCCGGAGATATTCACTACAGGTAGGCTGGCGCTAGTGTAACAGTGAACAAATTAAAAAATTAGATAGCTTAGTATCAGAACATTAAAACATTTTTTTTCCCCTTTGAAGTAGTTTTATTTGTTTATCCCTTCATGCACAAATGAGTTCTGTAGAATATCTGTTTGCTTTCCAATTAGAGCAATTTGTTCTACTTGTCAGCGTGTCGGCAATGTGGAATAATGTCGTTAATATGACAGGCGGTCGGGGGATTTTACAATGCCTGGCTGCTCTGATTTGAAAGCTTACCTGACAATTTGTCTCTGTAGTAATCCATACAACCAAAGAGGGAGGATGCTCCTGATTAGCATGTAATGTTTGAATACATTTTCTCTGTATAATGCACTGAAAGAGTCAGCCTTGCGTATTCTACAGAACCAAACGGTTTCATCTTTTAACACGATTTCAGCTGCTTTCGTGGAACTGTACACAATGAGCTGGCAGAACAGAGCAGCAGCCAGTAACAGCAACATTAAATACTGTTAGATTTTCCTAGAAATAGAAGGAGTCGACTGAATTTAGAAAAATAAAATCTGATTTACTAGTGCCCTAAATCTGATTTAGTGGTGCTCTAATGTAATTTAGCTGGTATGTGCTTTGCATCATGTGCAGCATAATGATGGTGAATCTTCAGTGAAATATGAAATCATTTAGTTAGAGTGTTTAAAATGTGCTTTTATTATGAAGTATGAATTTTAAAGTGTTATTTTAAGTATCAATAACAGCACACTCTTTTCTGACCAATTTTAATGATCATTTATTTTAAATCTCTTCTTTTTTTATCGTATTTTACTTGATTTATAAACACTTTCTTTTTATTTGCTGCTCCTTTCTTCTCTAAATCCTGTCTTATTTTGCCCGAGAATTGTGATTGCTTTTCGAAGAACTACAGCGTTATCTGTAATTGAAGTTTCAGATCCCAGATGATCATCCTGTTTATGTTTACTGTGCCAGCATCACACTTGCTCATTCAGTCTGTGTGTTTTCTTTTTCTCTGTTTTTATTTATTCACTTTTACAAAAAACCCTCCAAGAACCAGAAATTCATTTTTTTCCACTGTGGAGAACACGAGTCTGAGATCTCTACATCAAGCACCATTTATGCAATCTATATGACGTCTACTGTATTGTCAGTGGATATCCTGGGTTTTCTGATTTGTGGAATTTGGACTAACAGAGCACTTTCTTTTCAAAATGACAGAAACTGCAACTTTCATATTTTATGGCCAGAAGGGAGGTTTGGTGATCAATTTTCATTCAGATATTATGATGCTACAAATCAAATTTTCTGCAATTTGATAGTTTTAACTTAGGATTTCAGAAATGTATAGGAATTTTTACTCCTTCCAAAACAAAAAACTCACATTTTGAACATATGTCCATACTTCAGGTAAAACAGGACTGTGAGACAGAAAGGATTTTATTCAAAACTGAGGAAGGAGAGTCAGACCTAGAGCTGTCAGGAGGTGGTGAGGTGGAGAAAGTCATTATAGCAGGAAGGACATGGTTAGTTTAGAGGTGGTATGTTATAGAAGAATTGTGTAATGTAAGGTTCTGATGCTTTTAAGCATTAGGATTTCTAAAAGGGAAAAAACAATATTTCTTTTAAATTCACAGTCATGCACATCATCTATCCTACTGAATATCCTGTTAATTTATATAATAAATAAACTATATGATAAAAGGGCATTAAACTATACCCCTACTGAAACTGGGTTGTTTTTCATGATGAAACCTGAAAACAGGATACCGCTGCCCACAACCACCAAGACAGGTGGTTGTGGGCAGCTGATCTGATTACATCAAAAAGAAAATAGGTAACCAGGTTTTAGAAAAAAAAAGTCAGATTGCACGAACCAGAGAATGGTGCTCATCTCTAAAGGTAGCATTAAAACGTAAAACACTGAAAACATTGTTCAGCACATCTGTGTCCATGCATGACTCCACGACTGAGTTTATACAGATTCTTCAGTATTAGGCAGCCCATCAAAGTCATAAATTATCTTGATGTCTCTGATAAGGGGGAAAGAATAAAGTTCTCTGGAAGGTGAGACCTCTCTTAAACAGAGAGGCTGCCTGAATCTGCCCAAACGAATTCCTGTGACATGCTTCTAACAACCACAATGCTAAAATTATTTTAAAAAAATCTAAATATCAAAACAATTCTTTCTTAGATGAAAACAATGTTGAAGACAAACATACATATCAGCTTTGGTGCTTTTTGGTGAATTTGTTTAGCTTTATCTACTGACTATGACATAGCGCAGTTGCAGATTTCCATCTTAGCCAGCTTCACTGTCAAGCAGGTCTCTTCAGCTACTAGTGCTAGCAGAGCTTTAAGTTCTTTCTGGGTTTGTCACTTATCTTAAAATGGGTTTAAAATTTTTTGACAAAAAGATGAGCTAAGTCCTGTTTGCACTTGTCGACACTCATGATAAACAGATCCTTATTCCGAGTCACCTTGGCAGATTTGTGAAGTGGGCACCATGCTGGAATTTGCATCTGATTACAGCATTGATATAGTTTCCTCTCTCAAACCTGCCTCCCAACAGAACCCTGATTTAAAAATAGGCCACAAAATGGTCTGCACTGATATGTATTTATATTCAAATACCTAAGGAATATATTTAGTTTAGTCCAGATCCCGAATGCACCATCAGTATGAGAAGAGGGAAATGAGTGGTTTATTGAGTGATGCATGAACTCCATATTTTGATACTTTGATATGTTTGTAGTATAAGCAAAAAAGGAGAATGACCTTAAACTTGTCACTTGTATTTTCTGTCTGTTTGATTAGGTTCAAATTATAAATAAGGCGTTAAATTACAGTGTTAGGTGTAGGTGCCGGTACCACTTCATTATGCTTGGGGGAAGCTTATAGTTTGACTATAAGCTGCTTGTAGTTTGAGGAAACAAAGTTGGAAACAAATTCCTTACATATGGTGTCCCAAAGGAATAGTGTGAAAAGCAGATGTGATGTTTTTCCTTTTTTTTCTTTCTTTACTAGCTTTAGCTTGATGGTATTTTTAGCTGTACGCAGCAGGGGCAGTTCCCCTTTCTTTTTAAATTGGGCAAAATTGCTCAGAACTATAGACAGTGTGGGAAATTAGTCTTACAAAACAACAGCAAACAAACAAACAAACAAACAAACAAACAAACCACTGAACGTGATCATCAGCCTCAAGT